TTGACCAAATGGTCCTTCGTCTTCTTGGCTTCATCCGCATAAGCTTCCTTGGCCCGATCCCTCCCCACTGCGTTGGTCTGTGAGGTGAGTCTTTCCGATTGAGGAAAGCCTTATGGTTCGCCTCGGTTTAGTCTATCTCATTACTTCAACCTTTGTCTTTGACTAAGTCGATCATGTTGAGGAGAGAGAGAATAAAGGCCTACAAAAGTGAGCCGAGAAATTAGAAGATGCTTGGCATAAGAAGAGCAGTAGAGGTTAAAGTCGAGAAGGTCGAGGCTTACATGAATCAAGTGGGATATATGCTTTCATTGGCGGTCGAGGAGAAGGGACTTAGTAGCAGCAACCAATGCTTGTCAAAAAAGGATTCATAGAGGGCCTGGAGAACAAGAGAGAACTGAGGAAAAAGGTAATGCGCCACCTTAATCTAGGCATCTGTAACGTTGGGGATAAGAATGTTAGAGTCCTTAACCTTCGCTGCTGGGAGGAATATGCGATCCTTAGGAGGAAGACCCTCTGAAATATCTGGGATAGGGATAACGAAAACTGAAGAGTCATCCACCATAGGCGTCTTATCTCTCATTTGCCTCATAGCCCTCGACGTTCCAGCAGCGGATTCAGTTGTTAGCTAAAGAGCCCTCTTTCGTTGAGTAGTGGAGGAAGATATCCCCTTTGTCTTTTCCTTCCGTAGTTGTCCACCAAGATCAATGAGCTGAAAGTTCAAAGATCAGGGAGCGGTAAATCCAAGTCAAACCATTGATGCCATAAGACCCATATCTTGGCGAAGCAGTACCAGAAATTAGGAGCTAGTTGGGTAATATAAATACCTTGGATATGGAAAAAGTCCTTAACAAATGGATGGATAGGAAGGGTCATCGCCACAGAGAATGACCTGGTGTAGACGAAGAGGTAACTAGGAGGGGCAAGGCTCGCCCTAAAGTTCTCATCTGGAAAAAGGTCCTCAAACCATCCACCATCAATGTGTCCGCCCTTATATGCCTTTAAAATGTCCCAGTTCTGAATCCTCGGTGCTTTAGTCAATTGTGAAGGAAAGCCTGTCAGGATCGCCGCTCATTGTAGCTAAGGGAACTCCCGTGAGGGATTCAGAGTAACCTAGGACCATGCCTCTCGTGTATTGACAAGTGTTCCCTAAGGGGTCAACAATTCTAACTGTGGTGGTCACATCTTCATCATCATTGTTATCTCCTTCCACCATGCCATCGACACTATCACAATCTACTCTAAGGTTGGCTGTATACTCATTGATTTCTCTCAATAAAAGGTCATCCTCAGTTGAAAAAGAGTGTCCGGAAGGCTCGGTGGTTGAAGGAAGGTCAGGTCTGACGAAAGATGCTGACAATGACCCCTCTGATGACAAGATTTCTTGGGTGCCATAATTAATACTAGAAAAAAAAAAAAGAAAAGTTAATGCCCTAAGGGTCAAGAGGGGAAAAGAAAAAATTTGTCAAACAATCGACTCTAAAAGTCAATAAGAAGTTAACCTTAAGGAACCTATGGACTGTGAGACGTTGAGCATTCAATACTATAATGAGCATTCAAAGCAAAACCCACAAAAACAACTGAGGGTCCATAATCCAAAATTCCTCAAAATTGGTTAAAAAACCCAGAAAATCAGTTTAGAAAAGTGTGAAAACACTAAAAGGTAAGTTTTTGGTCCATATTTTGCTATTCCTAACCATTTTTTGTGTAGGAATCATAGGAAACCAACGCATGTGTGAACCAAAACGTAAAAAGATGAGTTCCGAGGGCAAGCTTAGCAGAAATCTGAAGAATGGAAATTTAGGCTTGCAAATCTGAAGATATGATCAGATAGTCTTCAAAGAAGCTTCGGTGATGGATGCATTTAAAAGTTTTAAAGAGATTTTGACTGAGTTTCGGTGGGGTTTTCAAATAAAATGGTGAGCTAGTTTAGGAACCGCT